GCCAAAAAAGAGGTCGGAAGGCCAAGGGGCCTCCCAAGATTGGGGCTGCCTCTTCAGGCTCCCCTGTCCCCGGACCTCATCCAGGTCCCTGCTGGAGTCTGTTCTGAGGGTCGTTCACTTGCGCAGCTTCCTCTGGCGTCCATCGGTCTGTGAGGGCTGAGTGCTTGTCACTCCTGCCCAGGCTGAGCCTTACTTGGGGTCATCGTTTGGGGGTTTTTAGGGTATTGGGTTCGCAGGCTTCAGGGGTTCAAGGTTCCAGGGTAGGCTTAGGGTCCCTAAACCGTGCACCCGAAACCCTAAGAGAGAGAGAGAGAGAGAGAGAGACGGAGAGCGAGCGAGTAGAGGGCCTCTTCGCTGAGTAGAAGAAGAAGAAGAACCAAGCTGTAACTGGGTCTTGGAGTACTATACCTTAATACTTTTTTTGGGTCTTGGGCTCCTACTATAGCTAATGATACCTAAAAAGTATATACTTTTTTTTCCAGGGTCTACTCCAAAGCTAAGGTAAACCTCCCTGCATCCCAATCGGTCCCCTGGTCCCCAGGCCCCTAAGACCCCTGTAGGCCCCGAAGACCCTCAAGCCCTAAACCCCCCAAGCTCCGAAACCCGAAACCCGAAACCCGAAACCCTAAACCCTAAACCCTAAACCCTAAACCCGAAACCCTAAACCCCAAACCCTTCAATGCCTAAACCCTAAACCCCGAACCCCAGCTTGATGCTGAGCTCCAACTGCAGCCTACCACCCTAAACCCTAAAGCCTAAACCCTAAACCCTAAACCTTAAACCCTAAACCCTAAACCCTAGACCCTAAACCCTAAACCCTAAACCCTAACCCCTACCACAAACCCCAAACCGAAGCCGCCTAGGCTGCCACGGCGCTGTTGGATACGGGCTTCGATGCAGGCGGTTTGAAGTAGCTTGCGGCGTTTTCACCCACCATAAGTACCCCAAACCCTCAAACCCCAATCCTAAACCCTAGACCCGTAGAGCCCTAACCCCAAACCCGAAGCAAACACCCTCAACCCTTATCCCTAAATCCTATAGACCCTAAACCCTAAACCCTGCAAACCCCATACTGCCCTAGGTGCGGGGGCGAATAGCGTCGGGGTGCCACGGTTTTCCTACACAGCAACCCTATAGTTTAGGGTAAAGGATTGACAAGGTTTAGAGTTTAGTGTTTAGGGTTTGTGGGTTTTAGGCTTAGGTTTCGCCCTTCTCCTCCTCCTTCTCCTCCTCCTTCTCCTCCTCCTTCTCCTCCTCCTTCTCCTCCTCCTTCTCCTCCTCCTCCTCCTTCTCCTCCTCCTTCTCCTCCTCCTTCTCCTCCTCCTCCTCCTCCTCCTCCTCGTCCTCCTCCTCCTGTTGCCTGGCCAGGCTGACTGCCTGCTCGGCGTCTGCGAGAGAAGCTGGCGTTTCGGGATTTGGGGCTTTCACCAACCCTCAACCCAAACAACCGAAACCTTTAAACCCTAAACCCTAAACCTTTAAACCCCAAACCCTGAACCCTAAATGCGAAGACCCTTTTAACATACTACACCCCCCTCCCCAAAGTTCCAGAGACTCGAGCACCGCGCGCGTCATCTCTTCATGAAAGAAAAGGCAGAGAAGCGTCCAAGAGCCAGCTTGTTGGCTTTGTACCCTAAGCCCTCAACCCTTGCACCCCCCTAAACCCTACACCCTACACCCTAAACCCTAAACCCTAAACCCTCAACCCCAAACCCTAAACTCTAGGCCCTAAGCTTAATAATCCTAAGCCCCTAAACCCTAGGCCCTGAACCCCAATCCCCTTAAACCCTAAACCCAAGAAGCACTAAAACGTCAGCCCAGAAACCCTAAATCTCCTTGAGCTAAAACCCCTTCAATCCCTAAACCCCAAGCCTTAAACCCCTAATTAATTCAAACCCTAAGCGAAAGCCTGAAACCCCCTAGAACTCTAAATCCTAAACACCCTTCAGCACCAACCCCAAACCCCAAGCCGTAAACCCCTAAAGCCTTAGGCCAAAGGGCTTTCCACGTTCGGGGTTTGGGGTTTCGGGTTCAGGGTATTTAGAGGGTTTCGGGTGTAGGGTTCAGGGTTTAGGGGCAGCAGGGCTTGGAATTATAGAGTTTTGAGGGTTTGGGGTTTGCAGCTCAGCGGTGTTGGGGTGTAGGGCTTACGTTTAAGGCGTTTTGGGTTTCGGGTCTAGGGCTTTGGGGTTTTCGGCTCTAGGTTGGTCGAGGTTTAGCGTTCAGGGTTGAGAGTCTCGGGTTCGGGCTTGGGGGTGCTTGAAGGGGTTTAGCGGGTTGGGGGCGCAGGGTTTAGGGTTTAGGGTTTAGGGTTTAGGATTTAGGGTTTAGGGTTCAGGGTTTAGGGTTTAGGGTTTAGGGTTAGGGAGCTTGGGTAGTTTAAGGTTTGGCAGGCCTTTCGTCCCGTTAGGATCTCTGTGCCAGGTACGATCGCGCTCAGGCACACCTGGAGGCGTTTTACGTGGAGGTGGGGGGATCGCAGTGTTCGGAGGCCCTGCTTGGCTAGGTAGGGTTTAGGGTTTAGGGTTTAGGGTTTAGGGTTTAGGGTTTAGGGTTTAGGGTTTAGGGTTTAGGGTTTACCTATGGCCCTGACGACCTTTCGTGCTTTGCCAACAAAGGGGTTTTGAGGGAATGCTCTTCAGGAGGATTCTGGGAGGCTTATTTTAGGGGCACAAAGGGCTGTAAGTGTGAGAGCAGTCTCTAGTGCTGGAGCAGAGCCTAGTCAATTAGGGTTTGGGGCTTGGGGTTTAGGGTTTAGGGTTTAGGGTTTTAGTGCTGCCCACTCAGGAAAAGATTCAAAAGCTGGCTTTCGGCGGAGTGATTCCGGCACTAAGGAACTTTCGGCAGGGCGTTTGCTAAGGATCATTTTGTGTTCTGGGGCACAGTATCAGCTGAGGAGTGACAGGTACAAAAGAAGGGAAGCCAGCTCCGGGGAAGTCAACTAAGGCGCTTTCAGGCACCCAACTGGAAGCTGCAGGTCTCCAACTAAGGGATCACTCAGGTGCCCAAGATACCGGGCCTCTCCACGCAGGAACCCACTAAGGAAAGTTTCAGGTACCACGAAGTGGCAGGTACAGAAGACGGAAGCAGCTGCTTCGTAACAGGTGCCAAACGGACTAAGGACTATTCAGGTACCCAAGCTACAAAGGCCCAGATATCAAGGACCCGCCAAGGAATCGGCTAAGGAAAGTTTCAGGTACCATGAAGTGGCAGGTGCTCCAGGGAAGCAGTCCGTCAGACGCCCAACTGTTTTCAGGCACCCAAGCAACAAAGTGCAGACAGCAGGACGATTGCAGAAAGCAACTAAGGAAAGTTTCAGGTACCATGAAGTGGCAGGTACAGAAGACGGAATGGCAACTAAGGATGGACACTCCCGAGGGTGGGGGGCCGGGGGGGGGGGGGATCGGGTTTAGGGCCAAAACCCGAAACCCTAAACCCCTAAGCCCTAAATCCTCAACCCTAAACCCTATGAATCCTGTACCCTAGGGTCCTGTAAGGCAGGCGTACAGTCAGAGCCTCAGCGTTTTAGGCACGAAGCGCAAGACAACCACGCTGAGATCTTATTTCCCCCCCACTCCCTGTACTGACAGGTGCAGGTTGCTGTTTCGCCCCACGTGAGGTGTTTCTGGAATTGGCCAACTATGGGGAGATTGAGGAACATCACTGCCCAGATGCTGCCGCAAACTGCCCAGGTTTCGAGGTTGCGGATTGTTGGGAAGCCCGAAACCCTAAATCTTAAGGGTTGAGGGTTTAGGGTTTAGGGTACTTTATAAACAGTACTTTTAGCCCAAACTGTGTAATTTTTGGGGAGGAGTACGTGGGTTTAGGGTGAAGGGTGTAGGGTTTAAGGTTGCTACGCTTATAGATAGCTTGTACAAGTATCCAGAACCTCGCAGCGCAGTCTGAGGCGCCATTCCTGAAGCGTAGAGAAGCCAGGGGTGTGATCGCAGGTCGAACGTAGTAGTCGTAGTAATTACCAAAAGAGCAACATCTGCTCGACATGCTACCTATGACCCTATAACCCGATATGACCCCATAACCCTATAAGACCCTATAAGATCCTATAACCCTGTGTGACCCTAGAACCCTGTGTGACCCTAGAACCCTATGTGACCCTAGAACCCTATAAACTCTAAACCCAAAACCCGGCAGTACAGGCAGCTAGGACACAATTCTCATAGAGTTCACGGTGGGCACCCTGACCCAGCACACTGCACAGTTCAGCAACATGGGCATTTCCCAAAATAGGGGTACCCCTTATAAGGGCGTTGCCGATAGGCAGGCTTGGTTTCGAGGCCCTATACCCGAAACAGAAATGTAAAAGCCCCAAAAGCCCCAAAAGCCCTAAAAGCCCCAAAAAACCCAAGACCCCAAGAAACCTCAACCTGAAACCCGAAACCCTAAACCCTAAACCTCAGAACGTGCGGCGGTGCGTTCCGTGCCAGGTCCTGTTCCCACTTGTTGAGTCCAAGGGGGCTGATCCATTCATGGGCCCTTCCGGGTTGAATTTGAAGCAATGTGGAGTTCCCGAACTTTCCCTAAGTTGGGATATCGGGTTTAGGGCGTAGGGTTTAGGGTTTAGGGCTTAGGGGATTTGGGTTGAGGGTTTTGGGTGTAGGCGTTGGGCTTATGGTTCCTGTTTGGGTGTCTGCCTGCAATACAGGCGACTTACATGTTCGATGCCCCAAAGCCTATTCCATATGGTTTCACTCTAAAGGGCCAGAGTTTGAATCAGCCCCCCCCCCCCCCACCAACCCCTCGCCAGTGCTTGCATGTCCACTGCAGAGCCTAGGTACCTCCTGCTTGGAAGCTCTTTTGACTTAGAAAGAAGGGTTAGTAAGGTGGGTTATGGGGAGTATAATAGGGGTTTTAGGGGTTACTAAGGAACTTACTGAGTCAAAAGAGCTTCTAAGTGCTAGGAAGTTTCAGGCGGCTGCAAGGATGGTTTCAGGATCTTCCCTCGCGAGGACTTGGTGGTGGTAGATAACCTATGCGACCACATGATCGGAAACGTCTATGCGGGCGCTGGCACGCTTTGCCGGTCTTCTTCCTTTTCGGAGGGGTTTCTTCGACGTCTAGTAGTTAACCCTAAACCCTAAACCCCAAACCCTAAACCCTAAACCCTAAACCCTAATTCTAAACCCTAAACCCCAAAAGGGTGAAAAGTGGATGTTAAGGGCTTGAAGTGCAATTACTCCCCACTCTTTCATTAGGATCCCTCAGCCTGGCTGAACACAACTGGGTTTGGGGTTTAGGGTCTAGGGTTTAGGGTTTAAGTTGGGGTTTAGGATTTAGGGTTTAGGGTTTGGGGTTTAGGGTTCAGGGTTTATAAGGTTTGTTCCCCTCTTTTTCCTCAACCCAATTCTCAGCCTTTTTAAATAGCCTGACATGGGAATAGTTGGGTGAAGAATCAGTACTTGGAAGCCCTTCTGACTTCGTAAGTAGGGTAAGGTGGGTTATGGGGATTCTGATCGGGCCTCTAGGCCATACCAAGTAGACTGACTCAGTCAGAAGAGCTTCTAAGTACCAGGAACCTCTAAACCCCAAGCCCTAAACCCTAAACCCTAGACCCTAAACCCTAAACCCTAAACCATAATTGTTGAAGTCTGGGAGGTAAGCACCCCAGCGCGATTCGGCAGGGAAGCTGTTGAGTTGGGAGGGTTTAGGGTTGAGGGTTTAGGGTTTAGGGTTTAGGCTTCTTTTTGTTCGGGGGATTTCGGGTCCTCGCGCGGCGTTTTCGGGAGTTGCATTCTTTTTCGGGGGGAGGAACGGGGGCTGCTAAACCCTAAACCCCAAATCCTAAAACCTAAACCCTAAACCCTAAATCCTAAACCCTGAGGTCTTAGGAGCTTCGGGGCTTAGGGGCCTCTGGGTATCCGAGGATGAATCCTAAAGCCGCAGCCGGTCTACACACTTTCAGAGCCAGTTCAAGGGTTTAGGGTTTAGGGTTCCGGAGTCCAGGTTTAGAGTGTAGGGTTTAGGATTTAGGGTATAGGGTTTAGGATTTAGGGCTTAGGGTTTAGGGTTTAGGGTTCAGGATTACCTGAACAGTTCGCAATAGTACATCCTTGGACTTACGCGAGTCCGGCACCTTTCGGTTGGAATGTCTAATCAAGCACTTTTCCCTAAACCCTAAACCCTAAACCCAAACCCTAAACCCTAAATCCCATCTTAAGTTGATTTTGGAATTCTGAACTCTGTGAAAACAGGAGGATTTTTACAAAGTCTGTCCTTTCGGTGGATCCTTCTTCGCGTACTGGTTTCAGAGAGTTTCTGGATGTTTGGTGCGCGTGGGCCATCGCTTGCCGCGCGTGTTGGCAATGTAAATTGACGACTTGATTATGTGGCAGGCCACAGGTAAAGTGCCTCTCAGTGCATGTCTCCTGCTGTCATTTGCGCAGGTTTTTGGCTATCCGTTGTCTTGGCACAAAGTCCAGATAGGACCTTCCATAGCCTGGACTGGTTGGGAGCTGAACTTCGCGGCGGGGGCCTTTTCTTTGCCAGAGGCCAACATACTCAAATTTGCGCACAGGCCTTGCACCCTTTTAGGGTTTAGGAAGTCCCCTAAGCTCAAGGGACTAACGGAGGAACCCTTATAAGGGACCTTAGGGTTTATGCAGGGGTTATGTAGGCGCTACTCAGGTACAGGTTACAGGGATATACAGGGGTCATATGGGGGAATAAGATTAAGGGTCCCTGCTGACCCCTCCTTTTGCCACTTAATAAGCCTTAAACCCTAAAAACCCCACTTAATAAGCCTTAAACCCTGTAAACCCCTAATTGCACTCAGGGCTCATGGTTTAGGGTTTAGGGTTCAGGGGTTTATAGGGTTTAGGGTTTAGGTCCCCTAACCCCGCAACTCACAGTGCCCCAACGCCAGGTGAAGTACTACCACGAAGAGGACGCCGAGAGGGCCCTGATGAAACTCACAGGTCGCTTGGCCACGAAATTGTGTTTAGGGTTTAGGGTTTAGGGTTTGGCTGGGGGGGGGGGGGGGGAAGGGGGGGGGGTGTGGAAGGGGGGGGTACAAGGGGTGCTATAAGTTCAGCGTTACTTGAGTCTTGGGTTCAAGGTTTAGGGTTTAGGGTTTGGGGGTGATCTGGGCACGGGGGTACGGGCTGCTGGGTTCGGGGTTTGGGGTTCTGTAAGGCGAGAGGCCGGCGAATTTCGCAGAGAATCCCTCATAGCACTTCACTTCCGGGCCTAGGCTTTTAGGGTTTAGGGTTTCGGGTTTAGGGTTTAGGGTTTAGGGTTCAGGGCCTTATCACAAGATTCATCATGAAAAATCATGTTGCGCCTTCCAATCGGCTAGTTCCTTCAATATGGGGCTGCACTTTGAGCTGCAGTATATCGTTTGCAACACTTGCTTCCGCCTCTGAGAAAGGAAGGGAGGCGCCACAATGATGTCATAGATGAATAGTAGGGTTTAGGGTTTAGGGTTTAGGGGTTTAGGGTTTATCTAAGAAATATTCAACATACCCCTTGGGCATACCCTTAAAGCACATTAGGGGGTATGGCAAAATCCTCCCTTAGACTCCCTTATATTCTCCTTTTCTGGGATAAGGGGTGTGTTTGGGGTGTGGTGAATTCCCTAAACCCTAAACCCTAAACCCTAAACCCTAAACCCTAAACCCTAAACCCTAAACCCTAAACCCTAAACCCTAAACCCTAAACCCTAAACCCTAAACCCTAAACAATCATAGAGTTTAGGGTTTAGGGGTATTCGCTTCTCAGCATGAGCTCACACCATGCCATGCCCCAAAGCCCTTCTAGGGTTTAGGGTTTAGGGTTTAGGGTTTAGGGTTTAGGGTTTAGGGTGCCGCCCTCCACCGCCACCTGGGGCGAAGGTCGTTTCTACAGTGGAAAGCTCATCCAGGCCAGCACCTGCGCACCTGTTAGGGTTTAGGGTTTAGGGTTTAGGGTTTAGGGTTTAGGGTTTAGGGTTTAGGGTTTAGGGTTTAGGGTTTAGGGTTTAGGGTTTCAGGTTTAGGCTCGTAGGGACTCGGGGTGGGTGGCTTGGGAACTGCACTGCATCCCCAGCCCTAACCTGAAGCGCCTAAAGCCCCCAAGGCCCTAAACCCTAAACCCTAAACCCTAAACCCTAAACCCTAAACCCTAAACCCTAAACCCTAAACCCTAAACCCTAAACCCTAAACCCTAACTCCTAAAAAGCCCTTGATCTCCTACTTGAGAATTTTTTCCTTAAAACTAACAGTCCGTCAGTAGGGAGGGTAGGATCCCCGATTATAATCCCTATTAAGGACTGTTCGTGCAAGCAAGAAACATCTCTCAACCCCAAGCTCTACTTAGAAGCTCTGTTGACTGAGGAAGTCTACTTAGTACCCTGAAAACCCTATTGTAATCCCCCTAAGCCTGAAAACCCTATTGTAATCCCCCTAAGCCACCTTCCTAACCCTACTTACTGAGTCAAAAGAGCTTCCAAGCAGCCCTAGCAACATCCCAATCTCCTACAGTGAAGGCCGAATACACCACGGTCTCCGACTTCCGTGAGGCCCGCTGCCGGGCGTGCGGGCCCTAAGCTTCTTTCTCATTATCCACGGTAGTGAGGGGTTTAGGGTTTAGGGGCTCAGTGAGGGATAAACCCCAAACCCCAAAGCCCAAACAAACCCTCAACCCCAAACCCCAAACCCTAAACCCCGCAACTCCATCTCCATCCTGGGTTTTGGTGTGTTATACTTTAATTCATTTTTTGATTCTGGGTTCCTATTATAGCTGCTTATGGCATCTGACGTGCGACTACCACCCCCAAGGTTCCACGAGACGCGCTGCAACCGCGGAGCTTACTGCACCTCGGAGTCCCCCTTTGGTGGCTCAGGGCTTTGGGGCGTAGGGTTTGGGGTTTAGGGTTTGGGGTTGAGGGTTTAGGGTTTGGGGTTTAGGGTTTAGGGTTTAAGGTAATCATGGCCCTACCTTGGTGTTTAGGGTTTAGGGTTGAGGGTTTGGGGTTTGGGGTTTATGGGTTAAGGTTTGGGTTTTAGGGTTTGGGGTTTGGAGTTTTAGGAGGGGCCCTACCGAGCTAAGGGGTGTTGGTGAGAGCTGGAGCAAGGGGGGGAGTGTTTCGGGTTTCGGGTTTAGGATTTAGGGTTTAGAGTTGAGGGGTGCTGAACGTCTTTGTGAAGAGATGTTGGGGGTACGAGGGGTTTGGGGCTTTGTTTCGGCTTTCGGGCTTAGTGTTCCCCACTCCCCCTGCTGTTGTGGGAAGGCGCCCCATGTGGAGCAGTACGGCAGCGGATCAATGCCAGTAGTTGCGTTCTTTCATTTGGGGTTTACGACAGTAAGGGACCCCTAATATAGACCCAAAATAGTAGGATCCCCTTATAGTACGGACCCCAATAAGGTACCTCTAATATCGTAATCCGAGCTCCTGTTTAATTGGTGGGGGGCCCCCCCCCCCCCCCCCCCCCCCCCGCCACAATAAGGAAAGCAGGGTTCCGCAATAGTTGGACTATGGCCCCGTATGGTTTCTCTATTAAAAAACAATAAGAACGTAGGGCGAGAGGTGCAGCCTTAGCAGAAGAAAAAAAGCTTTCCGAAAGGCAGAGTTTCAAAATTTGACAACCCCCCCCCAAAAAAATTTCTTTCAATGTGGAGGGTTTGGCCCATACGAAATCCATCGTAATGGAAAGTAGT